AATAAATCTAATAATTATATAGAAAAGAAAAGAATAGAAGAATGAAAATAAGATAAATGTGAAAAAATATGAGAATATTTGTGAGATAATAGTAATTTATATAATTATAAAAAAATAATACTTTATTCTTTTTGCGAATAAAAGACATATGTTCAGCAAGACCTGCTTGAACCGAATCTTCCGACAAAAATTTTAAAGCTTATTACAATCTTTGTATGATACCCGCGCGCGCATATAAAAGAAATTATATCTACGATAAAATTCTTATAAACTTTTATATCTTATAATTTGAAAAGTAATTAAATTTAATTATTTTATAATTAAATTAATACACGCTTTTAATGTTCAGACTCTCGAAAGTTTATTATCTTGAGAATAGTAATCGTGCGACGTTCATCACGACGGATTGCCCATTATACTAAACTCGCCGTGGGTCACCCCGACGAGTTGCCGTTTAATTGAATAATTACTCACCGGAACGGAGCAAGCCGCAGTCGTTAAGTCTCAGAGATAATTGCGCCCCAGCTCGCCTCGTCGAGATAATCCCGTATCTCTCGCTCGTCCTTCCGCGATAATACCGATCACGATGCGAATCGATCTTGCCTTCTTATCGAGAATCACCGTGACAGGTCCTCGTCCTTCGAATCGAAAATAGTCCTCTGGACGGAAACATTTCTCTCCTTCCTCGCGCGACACGACTCCACATCGTTTCACGTCTCATTTTGCGGCCCATAACATCCACCGTCTCGCATAATTGGTTCAGCCTGGTCTCTCGATTGGCGTGAAGAAGAAGAAGATCGGGCCGTTATAGATCGTAGACTGCTACTCTCGACGACTCTTTCTTCTTTCTGTTCCCTAGTATGGTTTTTCGAACCGCAACGGTAAATTCCAGTACTAAAGACCGTTTTTGAGCGACCAGTGGAATTGACTCCTTGGAGGAAAAGGGAAGCTCCGCTTCTTTATGTTGGACAACCCTTTCCTCGGCACGGCACGGTGCGGTGCAGCGCGGTGTGACGCTGTGGAGAACGCGCTGGAAGAGCGAGATTTCTTCTCGGAGCGAAACCTGATCGCGCCTGGGCGAGCTGCTCGCGCGGTCGCGTGAGCGCGTGATTGCGATCTTGACGATATAATTTCCGTCGAACTCTTTCGCCGCCACCGTTCGGCGCGACTGGTCGCGAGATCCCGCTCTTGATCCTTTAAAGGATACGTCAATCGTCCAAGACGTCGCGATCCCAGCCCTTAATGCGTCGCGTTAATTGCTGCTTCGACGAATCTCGACATTAAACTTATATCTCGACTATGTTCCGCTCGGATGCCCCCGGTTGCTCTTGTTCTACTGGAGAATCTGTCATCCGATCGAACGTCCTAGATAAAAGCGAGCTACCGAGGTGCATTACTCGATGATTGCTCGAGCGCTTCTTTTTGTACGTCGTATAGGGTTCTTAAAATTCTTTAGCATTTCAACGGTCGGTTCACCATAATCCGACTTTCTGTCAAATCCTTTCCAACGAGCGACAAAGTCGACGTTACCCACGACGATCGCGGATATGGAAGGACAAGAGGGAGTTCTCTGCTCAAGCTTGAAGAAATCGCTAGATCTCTATCCGTGACTATCGTTAAACTCCTAGACTGGCATCACCTTTTCTATAGATGATCTCGAGAACTTCTTCGGGGGTACCATTTCTTCGGCGCTCCTTTTTGGTCAAAGAAGAACGAGCGATAGCTTCACCTGCAGAATCGTCGGGATGAAGAAGTCTGGTCCCGGCGAAATCGAGCTCCCGGAAGATGAAAGAAAAAAAAAAAAAAACAAACAGACTCTCGCGCGGCACCTTTCACCGGTGGGAGGCACTTCCCGAGCCTCGTCCTGCGGGGCGTCCTCGCAAGAAGAAGAACGTACGTCGAAGAAGACGTTCGGCGAGCTGGTGACTCCTCCACAACGAGGACTCTCCCTCAATGGAGGACGCGGAAGTGACCTCGTTGGAGAACGACTGCTCCTCCTCGTGGTGTTAACGGAGGGCACAGGGAACGCTGTGCGGGAAACCGACCGGCGCGGCGTGTTGGTACAGAATGATCGCGGCAGGGTCCACGAGCCTATGGTCCCTCTCTTTCCGCTCTCCCTCCGGCTCTCCTCCCCCCTCGTTCTATCTCCGTCTCTCCCTCTGGTCGTCGCGTACCCCTTCTCGGTCTCTCCGACCAGCGCTTCTCTCTCTCTCTCTCTCCCTCTCTCTTTCTCTTGTCGTAGGCCCGCGGCTCGTTCACTCGGAGAGGGAACCCCTTGATGGTCGCACGAAACCCGCCGGCTGCTTCTCTCCCCTGCTGCTTTTCTGCCTTTCTGCGTTCGTCTCTCTTCCGTTGCTCCGCTCGCCGTATTTTCTCACTCTCTCTTTCTCTCTTTGCCTTTCTCGTTTCTTCCCTCTCCCTTTGCCGCCGCGGTGGCTGGTTCATTGGTTTCATCGGTGCACCGGCCCGGGCTCTCCGTATTCTTTTCTCTAATTATACCGTTACGTGCAATCGCCCGTGTCAATTAGCAGCTCCTTTCTTTCGTTCCTCCTCTTGCGTGCTTCTTTTTTTTTTTTCTTTTCTCGCCACTCTGGTTGGAGATCCGACGTGGCGTGCAACCCCTTCGAAAGGATCGCTGCGCAAGGGAAGGGAAAGCAGGGCGAGGGGTAGCGGCGCGCGCGATCGGACCCGCCAATTAATTCTCCGTATCCTTCGAGTCGCTTGTGTAACAAGACCGCCACTCGAACAGCGATATCCGAAAATCCTGGATTTCTTTCGAGAACCGATCAGGATTACAATGTCACAAATTTATAATTCAAAATGTTTCAGACAACTTAATGTAAATTTGAAACATAAAAGACGTCAAATTTATGAGAGATATTTAACATAATATATTGTACAAAAATACTATGTCCATATACATTTAAAATATATTATAAAGCAAATGTTTTAAAAATAATAAATAACAATTTTTTCACTCCGAATGAATTAAATAAACTGCAATTTTTTAAAAATTGTGAAAAAATTTTTTTTCAAAACTCGAAAGAAAAGATACGCAAATTCTTCTTCCATTTTCTTTATTAAAAAAAAGTTGATCTTAGATTTCTTAAAGAGTCTTATTGTCAACTCTGTTTGATATTGCATTTTTAAATTTCAGATTCTTTATTCATCTGTTTATTCTGACAAAATGTTCATCGCGTAGAATAAAAATATGTCACTCGTCTAAAATCTAATATCACTGTTATAATATAAAGTGTAATATAATGATGAAAATAGTATATCGATATAAGCAGAACAACCCTTTCCAAATATTTGATGCATTAAATTAAAAAAAAAATTGCAACGATAACAACAAAAATTATAATTAACTATCAATAATAATTATAATTTATATTTTATTATTTATGAATTTTAATGCAATTTTTAATAATCAATTATTATAAATCAAAATAAAAGTTCGAATTGACCTACAAACAAAAGCATTTGTGAAAATATAATGCGCTGAGTCTCTAGATGACTCCAATTAAGTTCCAATTAATTTAAAGATTGCTTAAAATAAAATTTACAACTAATAATTTGTGTCCGTAATCTTATTTATCTTTTCCATATGTTAAATATTGTAATAAAAAGCCAAAAATATTATAATTCTGTCCATATTAACGAAATAGGTATTAATTATACTTGACAAATATGTTACAAGTATCATTCTCGATAAGTTAATCAGAGATTAAGTTAATTGGAGTCGAATAAGTCACCCTCTCTATATCCGTCCTTCTTCCTCCGAACCGTTCAGCGTTATAAGAGCACAGCTACGGTCGTTCCATCGCGATGATCTCGTTCGATGTTGAACGCGCGACGGCGATCGACGGATACGGAGACGTTTAGCGTTAAATGAATGGCATGATTGCAGGTCCATCCTTCGTAATCGGCATTTTACCGCGATAAACAGTCTCCATTTACGAAAGAAGAAAAAAAAAAGGAAAAATTCCACCGCTCGTTAGAACCCTAACCGCGGAGATGAGAAGATACGGTTTATTCATCGGCGCTTTCTTTCTCGATTGCCTCTCTTTTCTTTAATTATACCGTTACACGTAATCGCCCCCCTCCCTCCTTAATTGGCTTCTTCCATTCCGGAAAGCAATGCCGATCTCACCGCGACGGGCCTGCTATCCACCGACGAATCTCTGCAAAAAATCCCGAATCGGCGTCACGTTCTCAAACAACGTGTTCTCACACGTGCATATCGAGAACGTAAATCGATAATCCGTTACGTCATCGACGATATGACCTCTTCCGTTTCACTAGGTTTGTCTTTTATTCCCCCCTGCATTAAAATTCTCTTTCTCATTTTCGTTAAATGTCAAACATATAAACCGATCTGACTTTAGGTACCAAAAGTGTATACGTAATCTACCAGTTTCGCAAAAAAAAAAAAAAAAAAAATAGATCTACTGTTTTTGTACAAAACAATATGACACAAATCCGTCGAGACATGCCTGTTAAGTATATTCCCACGCGCGCCAATACGGTAATCGCCATCGATTAATCTATCCCTCTTGACGCCTTTCCACCCTCCGTCACCCTCCCCCCAATCGAAGTAATCGCGCGATCGATCACCTTAATTGCGGTAGATTCTGTTCCCTTTTCTCAACCACTGCTCAACGGTAACATTAATTGAAGGCCTTTACGCCATGAAACGTTGCCATCGAGAAAAATGTTAGACTCGACCTGTGATCGTTATCGGGTCTCTTGCGCGTTTTTTCTTCTCGTAGGAAATCGTTCCTCTCGGTTGTCTCTCCATCATCGTGCCAGGTACCTTTTATTAGCCAAATGTTGTAAACATGTGCGACAGAGGAAGGACAACTGATAAAGAACTCGTTCTGGATTAATAGTAACTTTCAACTTAAATCAAAAGCATGTTTTACTAATAATTACTAATAAGTACAAAATGGAACTATATATGGATACTTATATTGTCAGCCGAATACAACAACTGACACTTAGAGAAAGATGCATATGTATTTTTTTCCCTTATTACAGTCATATTTCATTCTTCTTAACGTTCCCACCGTTGGGGAAACGTTCACAATTGCACGAAGCCTCGATTTCGTCCCGCGCGCGTTACAAATTCTTGGTTTATTAGAAATCTTACAGTTGTAGGAAATACCTTAATGCTAACGATGTACAGTTTGAGTTTAACCTCGAAAAAATGGAGAACGTATTTACCGATGACTTATTGTGAACGAGATAATTTAATTACATAGAAAAATGTACAATTGATTCACGCAGTGTATCATTAGTTATCCTAAATTACACGATTCTTCGCACTTCGAAGAATCGTTTCAAATAAAGGATTTGCCCTACCGTTACACATACCAGTACCACTACTTCAAAGAACGCCCACACCACGACACGGTAATTTGTACTCTCGTTGATCGCCCTGTGATTGCGATCACGGACCTGAAATCGCAAAAAATGCTCGTAAACATTTAAATCAAGTCAGTAAACATCAATAAAGAAAGAAGTGTGGGTTTTGCTTCTCCATTATGTATGTACCTGCATGTACTCTTGTTCGTTTTTCACACCCCACAAGCTGGTACTCAAATCTTTGATCATATCATCTAACTTTCCATGATTGCTATCTCCATCCTGACCTTCTGTACCAGCATTACCCTCAGATTGTTTCCGATTTTCATCAATATCCATATTGAACATTACCACTTTCGGTGTCATTGTGCTCTTTTGATTACTGAAGCAGTAAGTATAAACGCCTGAAGCATGCGCAGCAAACGTGTATTTCCCACTACTCTCCTGTTCGCCTTGGTAGATTATTCTACCATCAGGGCCGACTATCTTAACATCTATATCTAAGAATCCACCCTCTGCTATTTCAAATGTAAGACCTACAAACATACAAAATAATATTAGGCTGCATAGAAATTTATGGACATATATAGTTTTGTAAACTAATAAACACTGATAAAAACAAACAAGATTGGTAATTATTTGTAATCAATTTATTAGAATTGAGATTTTCTATATTGATAATTTTGCTCAATAATAATAAATTGATTAAAAAAAAATTATTCAGTTTAATGTTTATTCAAAAAGTTTAAATACGTATTTATTAGAATTATATGTGACGACTTGTTCTTTTTAGCTAAACTTTTGTACCACTCATCTCTTTCCTTTCTCCCCTTTCAATACATAGAGAAAACAAGAAAAGTTAAATCGACAAAACGAAAAAGTTTAGCTGAAAAGAACAGAACTCTAACCATTGAATTTTGCTTTAGTATAACGGAGCAAAGTTAAGTAAAATTAGCAAAGTAAAATAAACTCAAATATATATTATACTGTTTGTACACTTTTTATAAATAAATTTTCATGAAATACGACATTCTTATACAAAAATTTGTTTGAAAATAATACAAGTAAAAAAACAGCAAACTCATTAAAGTAGCAAATATTTAAAAAAGTAAGAAAACTAATAAATATCATGTAATAATTGATAAAACAACTGATGAGATTAATTTAAATTATACTCATGAACGTCGTCGACGAAGGTACTCGTTCAAAACGTAACGAAAGGGATGAAGCGCAGTAGAAAACTAACCCATCTTGGTGCCGAATTCGACCTTATCGAAGAAGCATTCCTCGGCATGGGCGTCAACCGTGATGAAGTAACAACGTACGTTAACGATGGATAAGACGAGCAACAAGCACGAGCTAAGCCACCTCATTTTCTTTGTTCGAATTTTACTATATAATCATATAAATGACATATGTTTCTTTTCCACCTGTACGTACCGATCGCTCGTCACTCACAGCGGCATGTTGCTACTACAGCGCCACGTATGCAATGTATGCATATCGCCACGTCTCATGCGGAAATTAGAATTTCTGCAATAAAATGTCATATATATTTGTATGTATAGAGCTGGTTTCACCTATAAGGGTCTCTAATTTCATTCGCAGATTACTCGAATTGTCTCAATTGCTTGCAACGTATCATTTCATTCTTGTTTAACCTTCGATGACAACAAAGATGAAATGATGCTCGCGGCGTGTGAAGGAAGAGGGTGCATTCAGGGGTGCGTTCCAAAACTTGACTCTATGGGTGCGGTTCACTTGACACTACAAATTCTTCGAAGCTTTTGATTGACCAATCGGAAGAAAGAATTATACCGATTGACCAATCAAAAAATGCTTCAAAGCATTCGTAGCATCAAGTGGACCATAATCTCTATTATATGTTAACTCCAAGTACCTTTTATTATTTTTGTACAACATTCGCACCCTACTGTAGTATGATTTTTTAATATGATTGGTTTATACAGTAAAGAACTAAGGATAAGACCAATGGTCGCGTTGAGTCTGCTGAACGCAACCAATAGGTGCATCCAGAAGCATGACCGCTCACTAAGCGCTCAATGAGTTTTTTTATCTGATTGGCATATTCCATTAGATCTAAAAATATAAACCAAACAGATACAAGAGCTCACTGATGAGTGGTCGTGCACCCATTTACATCAAAGAATTTTAGAAGAGTTGCAAAGCTACTTTTTCTGCTGAACGCTGCTTTTTTTACTGAATGCAACCAATGAACGGACTTAACAGTTGAGTGCTCACTGTTATTGGTGCATTTTTCTAAACTATCTAATTAGACCTTTAGCCTTTAGATCTAAAAGAATACATCAATACCGACCTTAAAGGTTGATTTAAGCGGGGAGCACAGACTTTTGCATAACGCATAAACCATATACATAAAGAATTTGATTGGTCCACTGACTCATGCATAAGAAAATGGACCAATGAAATTCCTTATGCACATGCTTTATGCGTTATGCAAAAGTCTGTGCTCCCCGCTTTATACTGGCCGTAAACTGTTAACTTATGCCGTAATCTGTAAAAATTAACCAATCACAGTCGAATGAGAGGGGAATAATCGATTATAATTGGTCAATTTCTACAGATTACAGCATAAGTTAACAGATTACGGCCAGTATAATCCAACCTTAATTCTTATTATATTTATTAAGAATTAATATATATTATTATTAATTCTTATTATATTAATTCTTATTATTACATTAGTTGAAATGTGTTCGTTGTTCGTTTCCAGTTAGCATTATGAATATTTCAAAACATGAATTTTTAATTAGCCAACAAATATTCCAAAATATCTGTGTTGAGGCAATATTAAAATAGTCTATAAATAAAAACCTTGATAATATAAGAAACTAAATAAGGAAAAATATATAAATGTCCTATTCTAACACAAACTCTTTATTATATAATTTACAAAAGGCTAGTAATTAATAACTTTAAATATAATTCAAATAAGAAATCAAGATATTTTAGAAGTTTCTCAAAACATTTAATTCTGTCTGTTTGAGATATTAATTTTGTTACAAATCTTTCGAAAAGAGAAGCATATCAAATTAATTAAACAGGAAATGATTTCAAAACAAAAACAAAGAAATGCTAAAAATTTTTTAATGGCGGATCTTCAATATTACCCAAGATATAAGATATTTTTAAATTATGACAAAAGTATTGCAAAATAGTTGTCTTGAATCATCGATTTCGACGAAATTATAAATCTACATATTTATACAGTAACGCTTAATATATATCCGCCTTAACTCATTCTGGTTCATGAAATTATGACTGAATCATTGAACTGCACTGAACTAAAATGTATACTGTAAATTGGCGAAGAGGGAAGATTAAAGAATGCCGAAGAAAGTTATCTTACAATCTCGATATGCGTGAGCGCGCTGAATCATTTTTGGATATCAAGAATTTATAAATAGCAATTATGCGCGCTATCAGAGGCCTCTGTGATTGTTAGATAAAGAAGATACGTGCGAGTGTATTGGTATCCGACTATAATAATGATAGGTCAAAATTTATCAGTGCTCCTTCCGTGGAAGAAGCCCACCTTGCATCGCTCGATTAAGAATCTGCATTCCTCCTGTCGCCAATGTTTGCGCAGCAATCTGTTATTGTGAGTATTCGCGCAGTAGGACGCATCCGGATTAATTTGCGGCGTCTGTTTCTAACCTAACAAGTATTTTCTCGCACTTTTCTTCGCACTTGAATGAAGAAATAGTTCAGATTTTAATTTTTACTACACACTGATGCAATGAAGACTTAATTTATTAATAATATCCATTTATAATATTATACTGTTCAACCTCGACTACGTCTATCTATTTTTATCCATCCAACGTTTAACTATATTTTTTAAACTATTTTATAATTTTATTTAGTATTTAAAACGACTGAAAAGAGTCGAAATGTTTCGTATACATATTTGAAATTAAAATATTTATTTTTTGTAATGGATTAATATCTTAATAAATGTTTATACAATATCTTTTTCATGTTTAATTTTTTGACCTATTTTCTTAATCAATAAAGTATTTCCTTTTTTAAGAACCGTGCCAGTAAAACTCGCTTACACTTCGTACGAGTCGGTGAAGGAACATGAACCAGATACGAAAGAACCTATTATTATAATGCACGGTCTCTTTGGCTCAAAAAACAATTGGAACTCACTGTCGAAGGCGATCCATCAAAAGACTAAACGCAAGGTTATTATTAGTTATTATTAATGCTCTCTGATAATCTATGAGATTAAACTTAAATTACAATATATGTTTTAATATCTTTTAACATAGACTATACATTTTGTTTCTTAGATCGTTATAGTATGAAAATAATTTTGTGTTGTGCTTAAGAAAATGAATGCATAGGTCATTGCGGTGGATGCCAGAAATCATGGTGATTCTCCACATTCATCGAACATGTCGTACAAGGATATGGCAGGGGATATGATTCAACTTTTAAACGACCTAGGTTTTGAGAGAGCTGTCTTAGTTGGCCATAGTATGGGTGGTTCGGCCGTTATGTATACCGCATTAAATTTTCCACAATATGTTGAGAAATTGGTGGTTGTTGATATGTCTCCTGTAAGAGCTAGTCCTAATCTTATGCAGATGGAAAGGATCTTCGAAGCCATGCGTTTGGTGATGGTGGATGGAAGTCTCACTCTGTCAAAGGCACGCAAAACAGTGGATCAACAACTGTCCAAGTCTATTAAATCTGACTCGATGCGTCAGGTATCATTTCCTCTAATCTTATTTTATTTTTAGTATAATGCTGGTTTCTACCAATGTTAGATTAGCTTTAGTTTATTTAACTTATGCTGCATCTTTTTTAAATTCTCATTAAAAAGATAAAGAATTAGTTGAACCAAGATTAAAATTAAACTATATATGGTATATACATGTTAGTAGCAAAGAATCACATTTGTATTATGTTTGTGTAGTTCATACTGACGAATTTGGTGGAAGCAGATGCAGGAAAATACAAATGGCGAGTTAATTTGCCAGTACTGGAGCAGGCATTCTCGACTCAAATAGCTGTATTTCCTAATATAAACTCGAAGATCTATGGTGGCCCTACATTATTCATAGGCGGTGCTAATAGTGATTATATTCAGATGAAAGATCATAACGCAATCAAGAAGCTGTTTACCATGGCAGAATTTCATTATATTGATGGAGCGAGTCACTGGGTCCATGCAGATAAGCCTAGCGAATTCGTCGATCTTTTAACAACTTTTATAAATTACTCAATCTTATGATACTTGTGAGTATGTAGAAAAAAAAGTCAAACATCCTTTGTAAATATATATACGTGTATTTTGGATGAACTCCACAATATTACAGAACAATGTGAAAAGTATTTAAACAATAATAGTCGTGTAAGAGTGGAAAGAAACTGTAAGTTATGTGATTACGATAGAAAAAAGCGCCGTTGAGCATCAAAAAACGCAATTCCTAATTTAGTTTGCCCTTCATTGTACATGTTACCGTGGGAACTGTGAATAGGCTTTAGAGATTCGAATGCTCGTGGAACTAGATGTAATTCCACTCAGAGGCCACATGTGTCAATGTGCTACATGTGCTTAAATAACGATACTCGCCGTTAGCGAATGCATCGTATAAGGGCAGATATGCCATTAAAACAGTCTATAAAATTAAATATCACTTCGATTCGTTAATAATTTATAAATAATTGTTCTTTTATACTAAAGAAAAATAGGAACTGTTCGATTTATCAACAAATCAAGTGTAGTTTCAGATAAAGCATTTCTGTTGCAACAATAATCGCGTGTTCAGAGATCATTTACTGATCTGCAAATCTTTAAGCTCGTTTTGTGCCGAAAGACGAAATGTCAAACACTAGCCAAATGTGCAAACCGATCATCATCATTATCATCATTCATCATCATCGCTGTAACATGTAACTGTGATATATTTTTGTAATCCTATATATATATATATATATATATCACTTGCAATAATACTAATCAACAAACTGCACATTACAATACATCGTGCGTTGTATGCCCACCGTTGTAAGCGTAGTCGGCCTTATTGTGCATCACAAGCTGATTGTCGACGAAATAAAAAGAATCAGATCGCGTCTCAAATGGATTCGCGATCATTTCGGAAACTGAAAAGACATGCACGTTGTTTAGAATTATGATTTTTTGCCATTCCATTTCAGGTATATTCTGAGTTTGTTGAAATTCCTTTTGGCGACTCACCTAGATCCGCAGGCAATGTTGGAAACTCATAGATGTGTTCGCAGGTGTTTTTGCTGTTTGGTATGCAAAATCCGAACTGAAAATCGAAGGTTTTCAGCAACCTGTCTCGGAAAAAGTGCCGTTCTATCATCCGAAAGTTATTGATCGGCTTAGGCCCTACTAGAAATTCGATCGTTGCTCCAACTGTTTTTAACTTCAGGAATTGTGGCGTAAATTGATATCGCACAAAGCGTCCCGTGTTTGCATCTTCAGATCCGAGTTCTTCGCAATCTGCTTCCGGCTCTTGATGAATATCGCATTCTGATAAATATACAGAAAATAAAAATTACTATAGATGTGTAATTGATATCTAAATCTACAATTAATACTTTGTTTTTTCACAATCATATAAAACTTTTATTATACAATTATGTATTGTACAACATTTATGTAATGTAACATCACAATATATGTTAAATAACATACATACTTAATTTATAATAATGCAAGAGTATTATTATACATTTATTCAAAGTTTTAGATTGTTTGTTATTTATTATAGAAAAAGTTTTAAAATGTTAAAATTAATTGTAAAAAAAAGCATCTAAAATTTACGCACCACTAGCAGGAGGCTTTGTTATTTCAAACAGTACAGCGCCAGTTTCTAGATCCCTAATTTGAAATCTTGTAAAGTCTATATCGTAGATATTGGCCTCAGGAGAGCAGAGATATTCTGTAAACATATTGGTAACTATGTATGAAAATGATTTGACAAGCGATCAATATTAACTCTTAATATACATCATTGGATCACTTGTATTCTGTTCAAAAGACCTTTTCAAAAAACTGGGAGCATCAAGTAAAAAATTCTATATATATATATATATATATATATAACTCATAACATTTTATATATAATTCTTACAAATACAATATAATATTTAAAGAACATTTGTAAGATCATTTAATAATTCTTGTATATTTGTTAAAGTGATGATAATAATTAACCCAGGACACAAAGCCCCATTGTGTGTATCAAAGGTTAAGAAAGTATAGACATAGGTTGTTTTCCTTTTACAAAAAAAAAAAAAAAAAAAAACACTATCCTTCTCCATATTTAAAAACAAAAATAAAACATTTGCATTGGACTGTGTCAAGTAATAAAGTTTCCTACAAGGAAAGCAGCCACTGAAGGTTAGTCAACGGTATTTAAATTCCAAGTGGAAACATACTGTCCGTGATAGTGGGCAATCGGAGCACCATTTCTGGAGTCACCGGTCCACCCTCGACACCACCATCGGTGCCGTTTTCTGCGTTGTACGGCGCGATCGTTCGCGACTCGTTCGACTTGTTTTCGCTGTCCACGCTCATAATTTATTCACGAGGCTAAACGTATTTGTATACGGAGACGATAACGTATGGCATTCGGTCGAACGGGAAGGATTGGCCGGAATGAAGTTCACGACTGCAGACGTCGCTGGACATTAATCTCGTATACCCTGTTCACCGCCTCGTTGTCGGCACGTTCGTCGCGTCGCCACGGCCACGCGTCATCCTGGAGTCCTCGGCAGTCATCACTGATTACGTTTACGACTGATTACGGCCTTCTCGGATGGGGATAAATTGCGAATACATGATCAGCATGATCGCCGCGATGCGATCAGCAGACAACGCCGCCATATTGTTGGTCGGATTTTTTGTACTTGCGCACTGGAATTTTATATCATTTATGACTATTGGCTACCGATTTTTAGCTACTGTCCTATCATGTCCTATAAACCGTATAACTATCTGGACGGATGTTTACAGCATACGATTTAAGCTGGTTCTATATTAGTCATAAGACTACCGCAAACTTGTCGCGATAGTTAATCTTATACATCACTTTTTAATTGTTGCATCATTTGTTGCTGCATGATGATTTCATTGTAACCCACGTAGCGTATATGTAGTGCACCACGACGCGATACTTCATTGGCTCGTTTTCAAATGACAATGGTAGGACCAGATCACGCTTCCATATGACATTGCCCATGTTGTGTTTAACGATTGTTAATTCGGAGAATCTTGAACGTATAAATAGGATATTTAAAGTTATTAGTTGCGTAATTGTCTTATTACATCATTAATGATAAATTCATCATTAATGATAAATTGTCACAATGACGAAACTTATTTAATATTATTTCTATTTATGAACACGTCTCGTTGGATTTCAATTGTACTGCAAGCTAATAAGCTATGTCATAGTAAATATATAGAGCGAGTATATTAATTCATCGATTGATCAGCTTTTACGGAATAAAATTACATTTGCTCGTAATGCGATCAATCGATGAATTAAATAATTAAAAAACTCGCTCAGATTGAGTGAGATAACAACATACGGAATTCGGCGCGAAAAATTTGTGTAAATTATTTGATGCATTACGGGAGAGTCGAGGTATCTTGTGTAGGGTGTTCGATCAGATATATCCGTTTACGATATGAGGAACTCGAGATCTTTCTCGATATGTACACTGATCTAATTTCTCTCTTTCCAATTGTAAATTCGCTACACAATGCATAATTGTATTCGTTCCATACGAAGATTTGATAATATAGTGATCGATAAGGATGGATTCATGTCGACGTCGAATGTTAATTAGAATTTCCTCGAATAGTGCATATCATCGGCACATATCATACAATTGTTGCCATATTGTAATATTCTATATATCGCGTATGTATTACAATGCTTCGTAACCATTTATTTCAACGTTCTGTTGCCTACGAAACCACGAATACCAGCAGGAACTCGCGGATTTGTTTTATTAGCGCTGGACATTATTTTTGCTGCTTATATAATTTATATTTGTTATTTTATATTACATTACATTATATTATTATATATTGTATTTTATTATATTATAATGTATTTTATATATATTACATTTAATTATGTGTGTTATTATTATTATATATTATTTATTATCGCGCTCAGATTGAGTGAGATACGAGAGGCCGTGCATTTAATTATTTATATTGGCATGAAATTCCGTCCGGTAGCGTTCAGTTTTGCTACATATTCTATATTTAACGTTCATACAATATATAACGCTCATGGAATCGATCATTTCATCATCTGTTTATCAAATGTTTAACAAAGACAAATGCTCGCGAGCGTTGCGAGTGTTTACATGCAACAATCAATCAGTAAAAGAATGAACTTTCATTAAAGAATCGATCGTTTTAAAACGATGATATCGCGAATTATAGATTATTTGCGCGAGGTATTTGGAGTATATCAATATGTTTATGATCAACACGTCGATTATGTTTTCTAAATGTTTTCGCGTACTGTTTGTCTATGATTGCATGCAGTGATTATACGCGAAGTAAGTGTGTGAAACTTATACCGATCGATTCCGCACATTTAGGATAGACTTTTTCTCATCATAAGCACCTATAGAGCTAGTATTTACAATATTGCGGAATTAAGCAATATCGTAAAAAGATAAAAGTTGTTATCAAAATTGACTCAGATAAAATTGTTATCTGAGTAGCTGAGGAGAAAGTTATTTATACATATATATGTATATATATAAGTACTATTGTGAGATATATCAGTTTTTGACGGTCTGAAAAATCTCGAGTGTTCGCGAATATTAACGAATGCGAGTTTAAACAAAAAGAAAAACATTAAGAAATTCTCGTTTAGTCGTTTTTGCATGTAGTTCTCGAATCAAGGTCGTTCGCTTTCTCGCCGGGGCTCGCCGCGGCGCCGGCATAGCGGAAGAAAGACCCTTTGACTTACATATGTTTACTATATACATGCTACATCTGTTTGTATAAGTGACATTGCGACGGTTTCGCCGTTACAAGATTGAAAAGACGCGAAAGAAATATTTATCGGTTATTGGCAGCGGTGCGGTACATAATCGCGCTGCTTCGTGAGGTGATCAGCTCCTTTTCGTTCGACAGCTCTGTGAAACGGTCACAGATGAAGGAGAAACAAGTCGAGCTCGTCTGCTCGTTGTAAATAGGCAGGTTATCTCTCACTATCGTTGAATGTTATTGCGTCGCGGAAGAAAAGCTCATCTAAAGGACGGCATCCACGGCACGAGCTACACCGACCCGCACCGACCACACGGACGAAGCTCTCGTTGTAAGACGTAAAAGATATGGTAGGAAAGAAAAAGAAGATTGTACGCGCGGAGAAGGCCGGTCTCGCGGGAGGGGTCGATAAGAGAAATCGAGCCGGGCGTGCTACGTGGAATCGTGAAAGTGAAGGTATGCTGCCGTTACTTGTGGTCGCGGGAGAGGCCGATCGAACCCGATGAATACCTGTTGCCTCTTTCTCGTTCTTTCCCTTGTGCTCGCGTTCGCGTTTTGACTGTCTCGAGTAGTCTTGACGTGACGTGGGCAACTGTATCGGGAACGAGGAATTTACACGGGACACGCGACGATAAACGCGACACGCGATAAGGGGATACATTGTACACACTTTCACAAGTGTCAAACGTAGATTATTGACACGGCATGAGTATGGAGCGACTAAAAAAGAAGCTGAGGGAGTACGATCAGGAACATCTGCTCAGATTTTGGGAGGAGTTGACGGACGAGGATAGGAAGCAACTGGAGAATGATATAGATGAGCTTGACCTGCAGGAAATTACGGCATATTTTAAGAAGGCTATGGAATCCTCTCAGATCATTGGCCAGAATATACTGGATGACAAGCTACAGCCGATTGATGAGACCAAGATAGCTTCTGTCAAGACATCCACTGAAGAAGAGTTGAATTTGTATAAAGAATATGGTTTGAAAGAAATAGCCCAAGGTAGAGTGGCTGTGTTATTGTTGGCAGGTGGTCAAGGCACGCGACTAGGAGTCACCTATCCTAAGGGGATGTACGATGTTGGATTGCCATCGCATAAAACTCTTTTTCAACTGCAGGCAGAAAGAATACTCTGCCTGCAAAATATGGCGCAACGACAATATGGGAAACATGGAGAGATAACTTGGTATGAGAATCAACAAGTATCATTGATTGCGTTAAGTAGAAAAAGCTTTGCAACTGTTGTAAAATTGTTTAATATAATTGGTTTTGTTCTTAGTTCCTCACTGAATCTAAATGTATAAATCAATTATATTAAAGAACTTTATTATTGCAAAGCAGCTTTTTCTGTTGAAAGTAACTATTGTTGTTAATATACCATATGTGATAAGGAAAAGAAAATGAGAAATTGATTTAATCTTATTTTTCAGGTATATTCTTACTAGCGAAGCTACTCATGTTGCCACTATCGAATATCTAAGCAGACATAATTATTTTGGTTTAAAAGAGAAAAATGTTAAAACCTTCAAACAGAGTATGCTACCGTGTTTCACCTTCGATGGAAAAATTATTTTGGACGCTAAGCATCGTATTTCCAAGGCTCCCGATGGTAACGGAGGATTGTATCGTGCTTTGAAAACTCAAAAAATATTGAACGATATGGAACAACGCGGTATTCGGAGTATTCACGCACATTCCGTGGACAACATCTTGGTGAAAGTAGCAGATCCTACATTCATAGGATACTGCTTGCTATCTGAAACCGATTGTGGAGTTAAAGTTATCGAAAAGTCTTCGCCTTCTGAAGCCGTTGGCGTAGTTTGTAAGGTATGTTCTTTTATAATGACAATTAAATTTACATATAGACCTATAAACATGTATTTTTCCAATCTCCTTTTATACTGTTTTAATTTCGGTTAATATAGGTAGACGATCACTATCAAGTAGTTGAATACAGCGAAATGACAAAGGAAACTGCAGAGCTTCGACATGTCAGTGGGCAATTGGTATACAATGCTGCTAATATATGCAATCATTACTTTACGGTCGACTTTTTAAAAGACATTGGACACCTTCATGAGAAAGATTTACTTTTGCATATGGCGAAAAAGAAAATTTCATACGTTAATGACGATGGGGAAAGAATCGTTCCAAAAATTCCTAACGGTATCAAGATAGAAAAGTTTGTGTTTGACGTGTTTCCTTTCGCAAAGAATTTCGCGGTATGGCAGGGAACGCGCAAGGAGGAATTTAGTCCGTTGAAAAATTCAAATTCCGTTGGTCAAGATTGTCCAAACACCGCTCGGATCGATTTGCTCAATTTACATAAAAAATGGCTGTTGGAAGCCGGTGCAAAACAAGTTGAAGACAATGTCGAAATCTCTCCCTTGCTCTCGTATGCGGGAGAAAATTTGTGTCAAATCGTAAACGGTCAATCTTTCGTGGGACCACAAATTCTCGAATAATAAGGGACAATTTTTCATTCTTTTATAATAATGACATATTCTGAACATTTACATTTTTCCGAATAGATTAAACATACATTTTAAAAATATTTTTTTGTATATTAATCGTTTGTATAATTTATATACCATCTGGTTTTTGGTTTTAATAGTCATGCGTACTTTTATTTCATGACGGAATTGGCTGAACTAGATGAAAAGAAAAATTGTGTAAATAAAAGACTATGACGTTGATAATTGTGTATAGAATTTGGTTGTATATATTCAAGTGTAAAATTCGATTGTAATTCGGCAATATTATTGTATAGTCCACAAGTATTGTGGCCATCACATTTTTATATACTGTTATCATATGTACATGAAATAAAAGTTATATATATAAATTTAAAGATATATGTATATAAAAGCATTTCTAACTATCTGAACTAAATCTAATTGGCTTTTATTATAAGTATGTATAAGTTCAACTTGAACTTCTATGAAATTGAATATTAAGATTATTTATATGCTATTTTTGAAATTATTGTGATAAAAAAGACTTGAATTTAACGCTCTTTAATTTTAGCTATAAATATAAAAAGTTGTTAATTGGAAGATAATATATATGTTCTTTATTGCTGCACTAAAATACACTAAAACTTTTTATCTCACTCTCTTTTATCAAACTTTAAATATATACATATATGTATTTCATTTTGAAAGTAATAAAGAGGAGAAATAACATAATTTATATAATAAACGTTATTTATAAAAAAATATCTATTTTCTTATATTTATTTTAATACCTTTAGAGTATTTCTCTTTCATCATTTTTAGTAAATATTTATCTGTTTATTATAATAACTTTATTTATTTCGTTTTCGTGTAACATAAAATTTCTCAAAATTTTTGCTTAAAATTAGAGATAATTTTAATTAGAGAAACCTAAAATTAGAGATAATTGTAGTATTTTTATTTAAAACGAAATAAATATGTATATATATATATATTCGAATGTTGGGCGGAAAAAAATTCTAAATGCCAAAAGTGCAAGTACAAAGATCACGTCTTGTGGGGGAGATGGACATAGATGTCATTACCGTCGTTCGTAAAAGCGGAGAGAAACCTGAGAGCGGCCATGGAGGCCTTTTTCTTGTAATGCTTCTAACTGCCCGTACACTAGCGGCACCAACGCTGCGGGAACTACGTACCACGTCCATTTTCGTGAACCGCCGTCTCGTCGATAAAATCGTATCGTCGAAAGTGGACGTGGTTCGGGTCCGTGTTAAATCAGGATAAAGAAGATTTGCTCAGTATGAGTGAGCGCGACAGCTCGATACGTCCGTTCTTTTCTCGTTCGGCAACCTTTGACGCATCGAGAGAG